GGTGATAAAGGTGATGATGGTGATGATGGTGATGATGGTGATAATGGTGATGATGATGGTGATGATGGTGATGATGGTGATGATGGTGATAAAGGTGATGATGATGATGATGGTGATGATTGTGATGATGGTGATAAAGGTGATGATGATGTTGTAATGATGGTGATGATGGTGATAAAGGTGATGATGATGATGATGATGATGGTGATAATGGTGATAAAGGTGATGATGATGATAAAGGTGATGATGGTGGGGCCCGCCGAGTGGCTCAGTTGGTTAAGAGCATGAGCTCTGAGTAACACAGTTGCCGGTTCGATTGTCACATTGTCCAGTGAGCTATGCCCAAGCCGAGCTGCTGCTGAGCTGCCAACAGATGGCAGGATGGCTCAGCTGGTGAGAGCACATGCTCCTAACAAGGTTGCCAGTTCAACTCCTGCATGGGATGGTGGGCTACATCCACCTGCAACTAAGATTGAACATGGCACCTTGAGCTGAGCTGCCCTGAGCTGCCCATTGGATGGCCAGATGGTTAGAACGGTGCTCTTAGCAACAAGGTTTCCGGTTGAACTCCCACATGGGATGATGGAATACTCCCACCCTCAACTAAGATTGAACATGGCACCTTGAGCTAAGTGACCGTGAGCTGCCATTGGGCAGCCAGATGGCAACTGGACTTGGAGCTGAGCTAGCTGTACCCTCCACAACTAAGATTGAAGGACGACAACTTGGCTGTTCCCCTTCCCCAATTCTCCAGTAAAATCTTAAAAAAATAAAAGTGATGATGGTGATAAAGGTGATGATGGTGATGATGATAATGGTGATGATGGTGATAATGCTGATGATGATTACTACTACTGTTACCCATTCCTCTTACTACTACTGTAGTCCTCTCTCCTCTTACTGCTACTCCTGAATATGGTTTTAGAATCAAGAAGTCTAAATGGACCTTTCCTCCTGACCTGTCCCTGGCTTCCATTTGGATTTCAAAGGGGGATAGATGGGATAAAAGCATCTTTTGTCAAATGAAAAGGACCCCCAGGCCCATCTCACACCTTTAGCTCTGTGAAAAGAATGATGTCCAAAATTAAAGAAGAGTGTTTGCTCCAAAATCGGCACATTTAAATTCCTGCCAAGGTTCTGCCGAGAAAATAACTCAACCCCAGCAGTGCTGTGCCTCTCTGGAGTGTGGAGTGAGCAAGGTAGAGACAACAGAGGATAACCATTAGGTTCAGTGGAAAAGCACATTATGGGGTAGCTTCTCAAGGAAAGCTCATAGATGCCTGTGCAATCTCTCTCCAGCAAACCACACCTACCTGCCTATATACCTGTACAGACAGACATTCATATTCATTCATGAGCATGCACACACACAATGACATAAAATTGTTTCTTTTGTTCAAGACGCTCCATTGTCTTCCCATCTCACTCAGAGTAAAAGCCAAATTCTTACAATGGGTTATAAGGTCCTCCGTGACTTAGCCTTGGCATCGCACCTGACCTGGGTTCCCCCAGGTCAATCTGCTCTAGCCACATTGGCCTCCTTATCAATAGTAACAGCATATTCTTCAAATATGCCAGACATGCTTCTACCGCAGGGCCTTTGCGGCTTCAAAAAAATTGTGTCTGGAGTGCTCTTCTGCCAGATGTCACATGGCGCACTCTGTCACCATCTTTAGATTTTTGCTGAAATGTCACCATCATTGTGAGGCCTTCCTTAACCACTCTATTTAGAACTGCAATTCCCATCTCCACTGTTACCCACTCCCTATCCCCCTTCCCTGCCTTATTTGTCTTCATTACACTTAATACAATTTTATACATTTTACTCATTTATTTTATTTATTATATTTCATAAAAAGGTAAGCTACATAAGGCAGTGTTTTGTTTTGTTTTAAATCTATTTTGTTCCCTATTGTATCTTTGGTACACAGAATAGTGTCAGATATAGGGAGTGCTTAAACATTGTTGAACAAACTAATAATACATATTTACACTCATATTACTACATATTCACACTCATATTGTTATACACACACACACACACACACACACACACACACATGAAGGTTGACTTCTTGTTGAATCTTGGATTTGGATTTCAGGGCAAGAAGCTCTGCTCCAGGCAATGAGCAAGTAGAATACTGAGTTCTTTTTCAGTTTCAGTTTGTCCCAAAGATAAACCCTGTTGTCTCACTAGAATCAAGCCTCCTCTATTGAAATATGACTTTACTACATTTACATGTAAATCCTTAGTTGGTTTTTTTTTCAGGATTTTCTTGGGAGTTGAGTAAGAAATGTATCTAATGGACACCTAAGTATATAAGAGTTTTTTAATGCACCTTTTAAAATTCAACCAATGTTAATTTCAGCATTCCCAGGGTTGTCAGAAACTGTACAGACGTCCTCTGAGGACGCAGCAATGAACAAGATAAACATGATACTTTCAAGAATCTTTACTCTAATGGGGGAGAACAGGCATTAAACCAAAAGTTATACAATCCAAAGAGTGTCATCCGGAGCAGTGTTTCTGAACAGCGTGGCCCTTCATAGCCTGATCCAGAATTATCTGGGAATATTTCAACAACGCAGCTTTCTCATTGTCACCTCACAGCTACTGAATCAGAAACTATGGGGTGTAATCCTAAAATCTGCATTTTTAAAAGATCTCCCAATTGACCCTTACTTACCCTAAAGTTTAAGATATAGACAAATAANGGCAGCTTACAGCAGCTCACATCAGCTGCTGGCCACTCACAGTAGCTTATGGCAGTCCACTGCAGCTTCACTGTGGCCTACGCCGTTGCCGGCAACTCATGGCCACCCAGCTCCAAGGTCGAGCTGTTGTTCACCATCTTAGCTGTAGAGAGTGCAGCATCACTGGGCCTAATGTGGGATCCAAACCAATGCCCTGCTGCTCAGAGCTGGCGTCCCAAGCCAACTCTTAACCAACACGCCATTTGGCCAGCCACCCTGACATATTTTTAGATGAATAGCAGACATCATGTCATTTCACTCCTATATACATCCATACACATCTCTAAAAACATGTGTATCATCTCTCACATAACCACAATGCCATTGTCATTTCTAAAACTTTTAAACTAAAATTTTGGTTTAAAACTTATAAATTCTATAAAAATTAGTCTATAATCAAATTTCTTCAATTTTCTCCAAAAATTTTATGGTTGGTTGGTTTGAATTGGGATCCAAATAAGATTCACACAGTATGTGGCTTTTTTTGTTTGTTTGTTTTTGTTTTTTTATCTTTTAAGTCTTTTTTAATTGAAAGGTACTACTCCACTTTCTTCCCCTGCCATTGAATTGTAGAAATTGGGTCAGTTGTGTTCTCGAATATCCAACCTTCTGACTTTTTCCTGTTTGTTTGCTTGTCTCTTACAAAATTATGTCTCCCCTCCTCCCCCGGTCCCCAAATTTCCTTTAATAATATAACCCTGGTTAGATTCTGGTTCAATGTGTTTTGGCAAAAATTCATGAAAAACTTATCATTTTTAGTGGCTACAGAATATGGGGATAGGGGTAAAATTACCACTATCAGAGTTTACTACACCACTACAGTTATTAATATTTCTACATTTTTAAAATTCAATGTCAAGCAGAATTTATCAGATTTTGTTGAATGTTTAATATTGTTCGAGATTCAAATACGTTTATTATGCACAAATTCCTACTAAGAACATATCTTGGTGAAACACAGTGATTGCTAAGTGAACAACTTCCTTTCAAAATGTATACCAATAGGAGTTATTTTATTCATATCATCAAAGCAAATGTCCAGGTGTACTCATCAATGAATGGGAGAAACCTCATGGATGTGAGTTGGATGTAACGATGGTATTTATTTAATAAGTCCTTCTTGACTCTTGCTCATTACAACCTGTTGCCCATATCCATCGAGACTGGAATGTATTTCTTCCTGGAAAAGAATGTGTTTTCTGTTACGATTTATTCTCAAACAGATCTTTATGTCAAACTATCACTCTATCTCTATTTTCTATCATCGCTCTTTTTCTGTTTCTTTTATTTTTCTTTATTTAGTTGGTTATTGTATTAGTTTGCTAGGGCCGTCATAACAAAATACCACAGACTAAGTGGCTTAAATAACAGAAATTTATTTTGTCACAGTCCTGGAGGCTAGAAGTCCAAGATCAAGGTGTCAGCAGGGTTGACGTCTTCTGAGGCCTCTTTATTCAGTTTGTAGATGGTTCTCTATTCCCTGTAGCTTCACATTGTCTTTTCTCTATGTGTGTCTATGTTCAAATTTCTTCTTGTTATAAGGACACCAATTATATTGAACTAGGGTCCATCCTAGTGACCTTATTTTAACTCAGTTACCTTGCTAAAGGCAAGTGGACACAGTGTATCCTATAACAGTTACTTTAAATAATCTTTATTTATTTGGCTATTTTCAGGGTTCAACTTCATTGGCATTTATTGCCTGGGGAGCATCAGCTAACTGCTTTGTTACAACATTCGTACCAATACTGAAAAGCAGCTGTAGTTACCTCAAATCTCTACATCACATTCCTAGTCGACATATCCCGTTGGAAGACTGGATCAGTGGAGTTCACAAAGACAGTCAGGGCTTTAATATGATCAAAACTTTACCGGTAAAGAAACCTAAGCAGGTTGTTTTAAGGGTACCAGTGATATATTACTTTTGTGTGACTGGCTAGCCATTCAGCCTTAACATTTCTTCCATGATGTGCTCAAAACATTCTAGTTATTTTTCAGTCCTCGTGTCGTTTTGAGGATGTGATGATGATTTATTTCTAAAATGTAAAAACTTTGTGAAATAATTTCTCTTGGTAACTTAATCTCATCATTATTAATATCATTTATACTATATCATGGCGGCATCATCTTGGGCTTTTGCCAGATATGAAGTTATTTGTCCTTACGTTGACCTGTCCTGAGCTAATATATCTTAGTAGCCCCATTTCAATGTAGTAACAATTTTAATTTTTGCCTTGTGAGAATCTTTTAAAAATATAAATTATTACTCTGCTAATTTATTACTTGTAATTTTCCTTGTAACAAAAAAGAAAATAACCAATCTTGGAGAGTTATTTATTAAATATGTCACTAAGACGCTTTATAAAGTGTTTAAACTTTATTTCATTGACTTTATGGCAATGATTTTAAGTACTAAAAAAGTTTTTCACTTATTTACAAAGTCCTAGTTATATACCATGGGTTGAGGTTGTTGAAATTCCAGAAAATACTGAGTAGGGAGTATAGGGTGAATAGAAATTTATTTTAATACCTGGAGCTAAAAACAATATTTGATGTGAATGCTTTTCTGAAAAATTAAGATATTTAAGTTGAAAACAATAAATAATAATGAATTATACATTTTCTTTGCTTAATCACTTGCAGATAAACTACAGGCCTCCGTCTAATATGGGAATCGCCATTCCACTTACAGATAATTTTTATCATGCAGATCCCAGCAAACCCATACCAAGAAATCTATTTCATAAGTCAAAGGTAAATCATTTTTCTACAAATAAACTAGCATTTATTTGGATTCAAGAAATCATTCAGTACAATTACAGATGGATGTAGCTGCGTGGATTAAATGAGAAGGTGCATTCGGTATGTTCCTCCACCTGCCCAGTATTTTAATGATGATAATGATGTAGTGATGATGGTGGTGATGGTGGTGATGGTGATAAAGGTGATGATGGTGGTGATGGTGGTGATGATGATGTAGTGATGATGGTGGTGA